TTTTTTACTGCTTCATTATTTTCTTCTCAAACAGGCGTTAGTCGTTATGGTTTTGAAAAATAGTTGTATAAGTAGCGAAAAAAGCAGTTGAGTAGAGTCAGCAAAGGTGAAAAAGATCAGTGACGATCTAATGAAAAAAATTGCAACAGCGAGAACCGTGAGCAAGCTCAATACACTGAGTGGTTTTTCTGTTTACCAAGTCAGTACAATTACTATGGTTGCTTCAGATGGGTTTTTTTGTGTTTTAGCAAATATAAAATTTTAATTTTTTTCATTTTCTGCGTTTGTATAGTTTTATAATTATGTGTACAAAAAACACTTATAATTGTGCCAAACAGTTTATCTGCGGTATAGTAACAGTATTTGAATCACATTAAAGTGGGCAACATAGCAATGGAAGACAGATAAGTAAACCAAGAGTCTCTCAAATAGATGTAAGCTTCTCTCCTTCTCGCAGAACTGACTTTATTTTAGTATTTTATAGATGTTTCGGACGTCTTAATTATTGTTGTCGCCTGAAATAGGTTGGATCGTATCTGCTTCGATAATAGTCTTCATATTGACGTCCAACATTCCTCCAGTAATTTCTGACTGCTTGCCAGTCTTGCGCTACTGCAGCAGTATAGGCGATAAAAGTACTGAGAAGCAGAAATATCAGAATGAAGAATTTCATGATTGCAGTTTTTCAAACTGCTTTACCCTTCACTGGCAAAGCCGCTTAAATAGAGAAAGATTTTGTTTACCTTAAGCAAATATTACTACCACTTGTAGGATAAGTTCCAAAATAGAGTTCCAAAAAAAAGAAGAAAAAAAGTAAGGAAACCGTCTATGAAGGTCTGAAAGTATATTAGTTTGCTGTTCAGATGCTTGTGCTCTGCCCCCAAAGAGTAAACAGACAGGAGCGTAGCAGCAACCATGATCTTTCATTTTCGTTTTTTTAATTCGTGTTGACGAATGTTGGAAGGTCGATTGACGTCAGCTATAATAGATAGCAAGCCTCACACTAGTTTATATGATTATACGACATTGTCATAGACTGTTTCTTCAGGTCTTTGTAATTTTTTATTGTTCTTATTGCTGCTACTTTGAGTAGCCAAAGGATAAAAAAAAAGTTATGGAGAATTGGGGTGGATTTTATTGCTGTTAAGAGCACAGTTTAAAATCAACAAAATGAAGGTTTTTGTTAATTTTCAAAGTTTTCCATTACAGTTTTGATGTTCCGCCTTCTATTTTTTCTTTGAAAATATTATAATCATTGTAATGATGACTAATGTCGACGAACTTCCAGATTTTCCAGTCCAACAGCTCAGCATAATAAAGTATTGAATTTGAAAAAGTTGATAACCAGAAAAAAATTTTTTTTTTGAAAATTTAAAATTTACTTCAGTAACAGTCTTCTTCCATTTCGACTGCTGCTCTAACCACTGAATGTGCAACTTTTCAACTGCACTCTCATCATATGAATTAAAACCAGATGCCGTTTTTTTCTTGACAATTTTAACGCGATCAGAGTTTTAGTATCATTACAAAAGCCTAAGGGGGGAAAAAACACATTTATTTTGTAATAACTTAACAAAACTGAAACCACAGAAATACAAACAGAATATTTTCAATTCACTTTTAAACTTATAAACGTTCCGGTTGATGCAGATGAGAACAGTGTTAAAGCAATAATAGTCAATCAGCTACAAAATAGTGGAAAAAAAAGGGAACACAAGAAAATAGAAGCCTTTGAGATGTTACACATATATAATACAATGTGTACTTCAAATCCAAAACTGTGTGAATTATTTAGTTCATACATTCTTTAAAGACGCTAATTGTAAGTCGTCTTCCGGCTACAAAATTTCAAGCCGAAGTATCTTGAGAAATAACGATAGCCGTAGAGACCGTTGCGGCATCTTTTTTTTTCTTTCTTTGGATAATTTAGGCGGGTAAATCACAACTTTAGAAAAAAAGGTTAGCTGCTCTGAACTACAAAAGAATGGAGAAGCAAAAGATCCAAAACTAAGTGGCAATGACAGTAAATCTTAAAAGGGAACAAAATTGATATTTTTCAAAGGGATAAAACAACATTTTTTACAGAGAAAATTTTTAGTTTTATTTTTTATCTTAATTGTATTACTTGGGAATGTGAGAGAGAATTTGAAAATAAAAATAATAGACAACTGAAAAGAAGAAAAAGCAACCAATTTCATTATTTAATACTATTTACACATAAATAAAAACAAAGAAAAAAATAGAGTAAAAAACAATGACTTCACTGTTTTGTTCTTTTTCCTTCTGAATTGTAAAAATTAAAACTACAACAAAAAGAAAAATATTTCAAAAATTATTTATCAAAAGAACTTTTCTTCTTGGTCTCTTTCGTAAGTATTTGAATATAGTTTTTGTAAGCAGTCAGTAGCAATAATGACAATTGAAACCGGCAGTTTTGGAAGTAGAAAATGGGTCATTATATGAGCTGAGCTTGAGCTGCTCGAGCTGCCGCTATTGCTCCGTACGTACCGTAAAACAGATTTGCTGCTGCAGCAGCATTTTCTGAACTGCCAACAGACTGTGGTGAGCTGGATGATCCGGCAACAGACGAATGAAATAGAATCGCTGGATGAACTACCGAGTTCGGTAGAGCAGCAAAGCCAACTGGCACACTGAAAGGCGTACATAATGAGGTCATTGGTGCAGTTGATAACGTTAGAGAGGAAAACTTTGAAAAAAAAACTATGACAGTGTTTTGGTAAAGCAAAAAAATCGTCCTTGATACCTAATGTTAGCGGTATGCCCAGTCGACAGCTGATCTCTTGGGGAAGTTATCTGATGATGCAGATTCTGACCAAACAAATTGGCCCGATGAATGTTCAGCGTACTTTGGGCGTCCAATTCTGAGTTTGCTTGACGTTTCCATTTATTACGCCGATTTTGAAACCAAATTTTAACCTATATTAAACAAAAAATCACCCAAGCAATTATATTCAAAATTTTTTATTTTTGTTGGTAAAACTTTTTTTCTTCTGGTCTTCAACAGAAAAAAGGGAAATGATAAGGAAAAGGAAATATTTACTGGTAATTGAAATTAAATGCTACACAGAACATTATAAGCTACACTGCATTGAAAGTACCTGAGTTTCAGAAAGTCCAAGGTGTGATGCCAAGTATGCTCGCTCTTGACTTGACAAGTATCTCTTGCCTTCAAAGGTCATTTCAAGCTGTGACACTTGCTGTCGACTGAACACAGTACGTGTCTTTTTCTTTCTCAGCGACGATCTGTCGCCATCGTTTTGTAGCGCGTCGTCTTCACTGCCCTGCGCAGTACCAGCATCGTCGTCCTCCTCGCAACCACTTTCAAATGGCGACGCGCTTTGCGATTCCTCACCAAAATTCTTCTCAACATCCTTGTCGTTCTTAACCATTTAATTAACTGTTAATAATCTTGGCACAAATAAATTTTTTATGATAGATGATGTATGATTTGTACAACTATTTACCAATTCATTCAAGTTCTTGGTGACGCTTTCATCAAGATTAGCAGACGATTTGGACTGTGAAAATGATGAAACAAATTTCAGAAAACTTTGTTGAGCACAAATAACATTTGAAGCACCATTAACGATATTTTTGTCTGAAAATTTAAGAAGTTTTAAAAAATCTTTTAAGCCATATTATTGAATATACGTCCTGCATTATATTTTGAATACCACCTGGGCTTTTCTATTTGCAAATAACGGCCTGCTGCTATACATTTTACAGTTCTGCCAAAGAAATCCGAAAAAACTTTTCAACATAAACACAATCTGCTTATAGTAAACTAACGGCATTAAATGCTCCATAATAACACAAAAAAGCTCAAGATCACAATAAAAATTCTAATATCATCGAGTTGTTTAAGAAATTAAAGTGAAATCAAATTTTAAAGGAAGAATGTAGCACTTTCCAACAGAAATTAATTTGAGAAATAATATTAGAAAAGTTAACTTTTACTGGAGTTGTCGTTTTTCAGTTTCCATACAATGGAAAAGTGAGAAATTATTAAAAACTGAAAGAAAAAGCAAAATTATCCTTATACAAATAAATTGGTATATTTATAAGTAGAAAATTACTGATGAAACAGTATTAAGACTCAAAAAGCGGTATTTTTTGAAAAAGGAAAAAAGAAAAGACAAAGAAATTTTTATTTAATATTATACGTACTATTGAAAATTAAAGTTCGCTTTTCAAGTACTCTTCAGCCAGATTAAACTGAAACTATTCTTGGTGTCAATGAGACCTTCCTTGCTTTTTGCACTTTTTTCAACTGTTTAATGTCGTTAGAGTTCAAATCACACTTGACGTTAATATTATTTATTAAAAGAAGATTAACTTTTCTAGAAGCAAACGCAACAGTTTGAACTATAAATAATTTTTTTTTGATATAGCTTAAAACTTGCATGCACCTGCTGCTGGTGCTGTCGTCCAAAGCAACGACAATTAGTCTAATAATGACGACAATATTGATAAAGACGATCGTAAAAACGGTATTTCTAATGTTGAAAAAACCTAAACTTTTTAACTATAGTTTTTCAAAAGAAAATGACTTTGAAATCTGTATACACCTTAATTCCGCTCATTTCCAAGACTGAACGAAAAACTAGTTTTTAAGAAAATAGTTATTGTGACGTCAGTCAGGAACCTGAGCCAGAACAGTAAATTACAATGCAGATTATAAGTTTTTATAATCACTATATATATATATATATATA